GGGTACGGGAGCCGCGGGGGGCAGCAGCCGACCCGGGCACGGGAGCCACGGGGGGCAGTGGCCGACCTTGGGCCTCCAGATGGAAGGCCTGTCCATACCTGGTTTTGGCTCTATTCAACTCACTCCAGAAAGGTAAGAACAACCCCAGGATGTTTTATCTCCAGCCCACGGCCCTTTGTCACGGTGGTTCCCGGGACTCACATATCTGCAAAGCTGGCCCTCAGCTCGCGCTGAGACCCGATTCCCGACTGACCTGCTGGGCACTGAACTCGGGCAGCATCACACAGGTGGCTCCCACCCAGAGCGGGCAGAGCAGCTTGTTGACCACGCCGTGGACGTGGTGCAGTGGGAGGACATGGAGGATCACATCATCTCTCGTCCAGGCCCAGGCGTGGACCAGCCCAGTCACCTGCAGGGGACAAAGCACTGGTAAGACCAGGAGTGCTGTGCCCCTAGAGACGCACATGGGTGGATGCGGGGCCAAGGAGGAAGAGGAAAGCCCACACTCCTCCCTCTGGTGATTCCTGGCAGAGATGGAGGCCAGATGACCAAGGGCCCTGCATGCTCAGGAAGGGTCACAGCCGGTTAGCCGCGCTAGAGTGTCGGGGCAGGTGTCCCAGCCCAGGTGCCTCCTGCAGGTGTCCCAGCCCAGGCACAAGGGTGCGGGACACAGCAGAGTTCCAGATTTAACTGGATCAGTCCAACCGCAGCCTTCTGCACCAAGCTCTGTGACCCCTGCACTATCACCTCGATCCAGCTAGAGGAGAGCCACAGAGTCAGTGTTGGGTGTATTCTCAGCTCGTACTGAGGAGCCCTGGGGACAAGGCCCTTCGAGTGCCCCACGTAGCCACAGCAAGGGTGCCGTATCCGGCACACTGCAGGACCTCACTGTCTCTTCAGGGAATGGAGAGGCCCAGAGATGACCTCCCAGGCAAACGCGTCCACTCCTGATGACCTCCCAGATGAACGAGTCCACTGTTGATGACCTCACAGATGAATGCATCCACTGCTGATGACCTCACAGATGAACACGTCCACTCCTGATGACCTCACAGACGAACACGTCCACTGCTGATGACCTCCCAGGCAAACACGTCCACTCCTGATGACCTCCCAGATGAACATGTCCACTGTTGATGACCTCACAGATGAATGCGTCCACTGCTGATGACCTCACAGATGAACATGTCCACTCCTGATGACCTCAGATGAACACGTCCACTGCTGATGACCTCACAGGCAAACGCATCCACTCCTGATGACCTCCCAGATGAACGCGTCCACTCCTGATGACCTCACAGATGAATGTGTACACTGCTGATGACCTCACAGATGAATGCGTCCATTGCTGATGACCTCACAGATGAATGCGTCCATTGCTGATGACCTCACAGATGAACGCGTCCATTGCTGATGACCTCACAGATGAACACATCCACTGCTGATGACCTCACAGGCAAACGTGTCCACTCCTGATGACCTCCCAGATGAATGCATCCACTGCTGATGACCTCCCAGATGAATGCGTCCACTACTGATGACCTCACAGATGAATGCATCCACTGCTGATGACCTCCCAGATGAATGCGTCCACTGCTGATGACCTCACAGATGAACACATCCACTGCTAATGACCTCACAGATGAACACATCCACTGCTGATGACCTCACAGGCAAACGTGTCCACTCCTGATGACCTCCCAGATGAATGCGTCCACTGCTGATGACCTCACAGATGAATGTGTCCACTGCTGATGACCTCATAGATGAACACATCCACTGCTGATGACCTCACAGATGAATGTGTCCACTGCTGATGACCTCACAGATGAATGTGTCCACTGCTAATGACCTCACAGATGAACATGTCCACTGCTGATGACCTCACAGATGAATGCATCCATTGCTGATGACTTCACAGATGAACATGTGCACTGCTGAAGACCTCACAGGCCAACGTGTCCACTCCTGATGACCTCACAGACGAATGCGTCCACTCCTGGATGTAGCTGCTTGTGAGGTGTGCTGGTGCACCTGGCCAAGGTCACCACACTCCCAGCCATGCTGCTGGCCTGGAATCTGTGTTTATTCCCTGCCTTCCTCTTGTGCTTTGAACTTCTGTTTTTACTTTATTTCTCCTACCACATAAGAGACTTCATTCCTTTTAAATGCAAACAAATACTTTCTGGGAGTATTTATCGCAGATAAGCAAAGTGGGTGACGAGTTTTGTCACAATGGTCACTAAGTTATAGAATAAAAAAATTAATGCACAGGCATTATTGATAACGCACAGGTCAGACAAAAGATGGGTCCTGATCCCAGGTCACCCAAACAAATCTCAATCTCAGGTCCAGACACACATCCTGGCTCTGCCTGGTGGGCTGTCTGTTCACAGCACACAGCACGCAGTGGTCTCTTCTGTCCTCTCTGTGTCCGTGGTCCTGGCAGGTCACCCAGGAGGCCACTGCAGAAAGCATGGCTGACCTGCCCTGGCAAGTGAGTCCAGAGGCTCCATGTTCCTCTCACCCTGTCACCCAGAACTTCATGATGTTTGCAGGTGTGTGTGTGTGTGTGTGTGTGTGTCTGTCTGTCTGTGTCTGTGTGTGTGTGTGTGTGTCAGAGAGAGATAGACAGAGAGACAGAGACAGAGAGAGACAGCTGAGAATGGCCCCACAGAGGAGTGAGCAAACAACCTCCCCCAGAAAGTGCCTTGCGCCTGCCCAGGGCTGCAGGGGTGAGGGAGGGACACGGAAGGGCACGCTGCCCCCAGGAAGGCCCCGACACTCACCACAGCTGCAAGGTTGCGGTGGGTGCTCAGGACCCCTTTGGGGCTCCCCGTGGTGCCGCTGGTGTAGAAGATCATGGCTCCACGGTCTCGCCACACCCGGTCTGGCACCTGTGCCTCTGTGGTCCCCTCTGCGGCCTCGTGGTAGACGGCGGGAGTGAGAGGCAGGAGAGGGACCCGCAGCCTGCTGACCACGGGGCCCAGCAGCGCCTCGTACTCCTGGCCGGCCACCACCAAGGAGCTCCTTGAGTCCCGGATGAAGTACTCCAGCTGGGCCTCGGGGTGCTTCCGGTACAGAGGGACAGCAATGCCGCCACTCATCCACGCAGCCCACTGGGCAACCACGTAAGAGGCGTCGTTGGAGCACAGGAAGGAGACCCTCTCCTCCCGGAGGTCCCCATCCACGCAGCCCCGGAGTTTACAGATCTCCCGGGACAGGCGGAGGCTGCGGGCATAGAGATCCCTGTAGGTGTGGCAGCCATGTTGGTCAACCAGGGCGATTCTGTCCCCAAATGCCAGGGCTCGCACAAACACTGGGGCAGCCCCATCCAGGGGGGCGGCGGGGGCCGTGTGCAGGAGGCCGCATGCTCCGTGTCTCCAAGGGGCCTGCCAGCGGGAGGCCAGACACCAGACCAGGCGCATCGCACCAGCCAGCGCTGCCCTGGCGTGCCGGTCCCACTGCAGAGAGAACACAGCCATGAGTGCCGCTGGCCCACCCAGCCTCGCCACAGCGACGGAGTGTGCGCCGCCCGGGCCGCGGGCCCGTCCCTCAGCTCTTCAGCTCAAGGCCTCTACCACTGAGCCACAGCGCCACTTCCGCTGAGGAATCGAACCCAGGGCCTCATGCATTCAAGGCAAGCGCTCCACCACTGAGCCACCTTCCCAGCCCAGCATTCGACATCTTTAGACTTCAAGTATCTGGCTTCTTAGCCTGGATTCCTTCCTTCCTTCTTCCCTCCCTCCCTTTCTTTCCCTCTTATTTTTTGTGCCTCTCCTGGGGCTTGAACTCAGGGCCTAGGCAGTGTCTCTGAGCACTGTTTCTCTCTCTGAAAGCTAGTGCTCTACCACTTGAGCCACAGCTCTACTTCTGGCTTTCTGGTGATGAATTGGAGATTAGAGTCTCATGGACTTTCCTGCCCTGGCTGGCTGCAAACCATGACCATCAGATCTCAGCCTCCTGAGTATTTTACGAAATCTTGTCGGCTTAAATATTTTAAAAATACCCCACGAGATTCTACAACAATAATATAAATTAGGTAAAACCAAAGAGAAGCAACACTCAATATACTTAAGGTAAACTTGAATATTGGGTTTTGGAACTCTAGGCCTGGGAAAACACCAGGTAAGAGGAGCATGGGGCTGCGCAGGTACCTCACCACCCACAGGCCTCACCAGAAGACTGTCGGCTGGTGCAGACCAGGCAACCGCCCTCCGCCGTCCCCAAGGGCGAGCGTTCACCAGCTGTAAACATTAGGTTGCTTTCTAGGATGGAAACACTGCTAGTAAAGACCGAGCAGCAGCAAATGAGCTTACTAGGAGGGAGGCGCGGGCGTCTGCTTCACCAGAGGGCTCCACGTGGCCCAGTCCACGCTGGCAGATTTGCACACTGCCTCCACACCAACACACTTGTACACAGGCCCACGGGGCCCGGTCCACACTAACACACTTGTACACAGGCCCACAGGGCCCGGTCCACACCAACACACTTGTACACAGGCCCACGGGGCCCGGTCCACACCAACACACGTGTACACAGGCCCACGGGGCCCGGTCCACACCAACACACTTGTACACTGGCCCACGGGGCCCGGTCCACACCAACACACTTGTACACAGGCCCACGGGGCCCGGTTCACACCAACACACGTGTACACAGGCCCACGGGGCCCGGTCCACACCAACACACTTGTACACAGGCCCACGGGGCCCGGTCCACACCAACACACTTGTACACAGGCCCACGTGACCCGGTCCACACCAACACACTTGTACACAGGCCCACATGGCCCAGTACACACCAACACACGTGTACACAGGCCCACATGGCCCAGTCCACACCAACACACGTGTACACAGGCCCACGGGGCCCGGTCCACACCAACACACTTGTACACAGGCCCACGTGACCCAGTCCACACCAACACACTTGTACACAGGCCCACATAGCCCGGTCCACACCAACACATTTGTACACAGGCCCACAGGGCCCGGTCCACACCAACACACTTGTACAAAGGCCCACATAGCCCGGTCCACACCAACACACTTGTACACAGGCCCACGTGGCCCAGTCCACACCAACACATGTGTACACAGGCCCACGTGACCCAGTCCACACCAACACACTTGTACACAGGCCCACATGGCCCAGTACACACCAACACACTTGTACACAGGCCCACATAGCCCGGTCCACACCAACACACTTGTACACAGGCCCACGTGACCCAGTCCACACCAACACACTTACACACAGGCCCACGTGGCCAGGTCCACACCAACACACTTGTACACAGGCCCACATAGCCTGGTCCACACCAGAACACTTGCACACAGGCCCACCTAACCCGGTCCACGCCAGCACACTTGTACACAGGCCCATGTGAACTGGTCCATGCCAACACACTTGCACACAGGCCCACATGGCCCGGTCCACGCCAACACACTTGCACACAGGCCCCTGTGGCCCTGTCCACACCAACACACTTGCACACAGGCCCACGTGATCCAGTCCACGCCAGCACACTTGTACACAGGTCCACGTGGCCAGGTCCATGCCAGTACACTTGCACACAGGCCCACATGGCCCGGTCCACGCCAGCACATGTGTACACAGGTCCACGTGGCCAGGTCCGCGCCAGCACATGTGTACACAGGCCCACGTGGCCAGGTCCACACCAGCACACTTGCACACAGGCCCCTGTGACCCAGTCCACGCCAGCACACTTGCACACAGGCCCCTGTGGCCTGGTCCACGCCAGCACACTTGCACACAGGCCCACGTGGCCCGGTCCATGCCAGCACACTTGTACACAGGCCCACATAGCCCGGTCTATGCCAACACACTTGTACACAGGCCCCTGTGGCCCAGTCCACGCCAGCACACTTGTACACAGGCCCACATAGCCTGGTCCACGCCAGCACACTTGTACACAGGCCCACATGGCCCGGTCCATGCCAGCACACTTGTACACAGGCCCACATGGCCCGGTCCACGCCAGCACACTTGTACACAGGCCCACATGGCCCGGTCCACGCCAGCACACTTGTACACAGGCTCACGTTGCCAGGTCCACACCAGCACACCAGCACACAGGCCCCTGTGGCCCGGTCCACGCCAGCACACCAGCACAAGGCCTGAGTGGCCCGGTCCACGCCAGCACACCTGCACACTACTCCTGTACAGTATGGGTGGTAGATGCCACCCTGGACTCTGCCTCTGAGCTGACAACGCCTTCTTCCCAGTGCCAACACCACCACCGATGGTTCAAGTCCTTCCTGTCACCTCCAGGTCACAGCCTGCCTTGGCCTCGCACTGAGAACAGATCAGCCACCTCCACCCAGCAACACTGTATGGCCATCTGAGCAGTGCTCGGTCAGAGGCCAGTGAGTAGAACAGAGTCGAGAGCGAGGACTCGACGCAGACTGCACTGCCTGCCCCCATGGGGCTCCAGGCAGGGACGAGGACCCTAAATAGTGCTGCACTCCAGAGACAGGGTGGCAAGAGCCCTGCTGATGGGGGCACACAGCAGGCCCCAGCTTGGAAGCTGTAGGCCTTGGCCTGCCTGGCAGGCCCAGGAGGGTGACAAGAGTAAGTAGAATTGTCAGAATCCCTCTCTGTGCATCTCGTCCTCTGCAGGGGCTGCTTCTCCATGCTGGCCACACACCTGCCTACAAATCCATTTCTCCATCTTAACATGCTGGGGAAATGACACCCACTGCATGCTCCAAGCACTGTTTTTGTTCTCTTAAAAAACAAACAAGCAAGATTAGCACAGTGCTTTATAATCAGCTAATAAAGAATAAACTACAACAACGAAATCTGCCAGAACCAGGTCACCTTCTGTGCTTGAGGAACTCGCTCAGGTCTGGCTCCCACTTGCTGGCCTCCTGGCCTCTCTCCTGTGGCTTGCTGATTTCTCTTCTAGCCAGGGTCTCGGCAGGAAAACCTCTAGCCCTGTGCACAAGAGTCACATGTGCCTCACAGATCCTGTGCCGATGCTTGGCTCAGCTCATGATTGTTTCCAAGTCCTGTGTTTGCTGGCCCTACAAATGCTGGTCACCCAAGACCCATCATTCTGCAGTAAGAGGCAGCAAGGGTCCCATAGCTGCCCAGCCCTGTGTTCACAAGGGGCTCAGAAGCAGCATCTGGTTTGCTCACACCCTGGATTTCTGCTGCTACAGAAAAACTGAACAAATCTGAGGTGCTAAGTTGCAGAGCGCTCGTCAGCAGCCACATACAATGGGCATAAGGTGGACGGGCAGGGCAGAACCACTAATGCTCCTCTATTTGCTTGTCAGGCAGAAGAGAAAATGCAACTGATCACTGGGCAGTGTGTGAGGCACCAGAGTGCTTGACATCATGCCACAGCTGCAGCACCAAAATGCCACGATTCTCCTGATCATGCGGACGAGGGCATCAATGAACAGCACCTGTACCCCTTCCTGGCTGGGAACTCATCAAAACCTGTCAGGGCAGGGCCCCCAGCTTGGGAGCCGTGCAGCAGCATTCCTTCCTGAAAGCCAGGTCCCTGAGGGGAACTCTTCTGGCAACCAGCACTCCCAGGCACCCCAGCCCGGGTGTAGCTGTCCCTCGGTGTTCAGCCCGAGGGGAGAAGCTTTGTCCCCTTAGAAGCAGCAGCATGCGGAGGGGCCTGGGCAGTGTGGCATTCTGGGGTTTGGGAGTCACTGCCCTGCTGCTCCAGGAGGCAAGACTGCCATCAGGACATACGGGTCCCTTCAGGGGCCAATCCTAGAGCCCAGAGGATTTCTCTTTTATGTCCCAACAGAAGGCAGTTAAGAGGAGAGCTAGCCTCCACACAAACTCAGCCTTGTACCGCTGCTCTTCTTCCTGGTTTTCTTCACCTGCTTAAACCTTGCTTTTGATACCTCCTAGGGGAAAGGATTCCTTTTCACCACGCATTAGAGAATCAAAAGGCAGGGAAGTGTTTAAGGGAAACACAGTAAGTTTATTGAAAGCAAAAGGAAAGTCAGAAAAGTAGTGAGATGCATCAGGAGGGGAGCCTAAAGCGTCTCATGGAGGCCTCTGGAGGCCAGTTTTACACGCAGGCCCCTCCCTGGGCTTTGTGATTGCTTGATGGCTGTGTATGCCTGCCCCGGCTCTTTCCATTGCTTAGGGAGGCGCGCAGGGTATCATGAAGAAGCGTTTGAGCAGGAACTCAGCATTATGAGAAAAAGCAGTTGAACGGGAGTCCGAGGCTCTAAACAGGAATCACCAAGACGGGGCACTGACATCACTACTTTTTACCCCTAACAGTTCCTTTTCCCTCTCACTTCCTACCTGTAAGATGAGACTGAAAGATTTGGCACTGACCTGGGATGACAGTGATTTTCTAAGCACGTCCCTTGGCACATGCTCACTAGAGCCTGCCAGTAAGAGATAAGGATGAATGCAGGTTCCTAAACGAATGACACCTGGCTTTGATTCAATGCCACATCT